CCATCATGGAGGCACTTGTGGTGCCTGGACACTCCTCTCTGCACCCCTCTGAGCCTCACTTTCACATCTTCAAGTTACTTCCTCATCTCTTTCATTTTCCTTCTTACTGAACTCCTTGAAGAAAAGACCTCTGCTCTCCATCTCCTGTGCACGCCTCGGCGCAGGGCTGGGCACCTGTCTCTCCAGGTCTAGACTGAGCCTGTCCCTCACCAACACGGTCTTGTTTTTGCTCCTTGGAGCCGATCCTGGGGCGGCACAGGTGCTCCTGAAACCACCTGTCTGAGGAGGACTAGTGAGGGACTGGGTGTGGTCATGGCTGACTTCTTGGCATTTGCCCGCCTGCCTTTCAGTGTGTCCTGTGCTCCTCCCCTAGGTGGGGTCTCCTCCTTGCCCCTGCTCCCAACAGGGGATGTTCTCCAGGGTGCAGGCAGGAGAACTAAACCTTTCAAAGTGTGTTCATTGTAGAAATTTTGGAAAGGGGGCCGGGTGCAGTGGCTCATGCCTATAATCCCAGCACTTTGGGAGGCTGAGGCAGGTGGATCACCTGAGGTTAGGAGTGCAACACCAGCCTGCCACCATGGCAAAACCCCATCTCTCTAAAAATACAAAAATTAGCCGGATGTGGTGGCAGGTGCCTGTAATCCCAGCTACTTGGGAGGCTGAGGCAGCAAAAGTGCTGAACCGGGGAGGCGGAGGTTGCAGTGAGCAGAGACCGCACCACCACTGCACTCCAGCCCGGGCGACAGAGCGAGACTCCGTCTCAAAAAGCAAAAGGAATTTTGGAAAGGAACTTTGAATCATCTTCTTTTATGTCGGGGGACCTATAATTCCATCCAGAATTACAGTATTATGCAGTAGTTATACAGTAGTTATGCAGTAGTGTTACACAGTATTATACAACTGTAGTATTACACTGTCGTTCTGTGACTCAGTAGCTGTAGAGAGTTTCATGGTGTGGTGCACTAATTTGTTCCTATTGTCGGACATTTAGGCAGTTCCCAGTTTCCCACAATTTATTATAAACATTGCTGCAGTAAACACCATCCTTGTAGATGGATGGTTTCTCAAGCCCATCGTCCTCTTCTTGGGTAAGTTTCCTCACAGGGCTGCGTCTGGCCACGCTTGTGTGTCCTTCTTGGCTTTGCTGTCTTTGGGTCGGCAGCCATGCTGGGTAGAGCAGTGTGTGCACCCATGCTGTGCTCTTCCCGGAGCCTGGTGATGTGCTCCTTTCTAGACTCTAGACTCACTCTATCCTTGAGGCACCTCTGCTGACACCACACGCCCAGGAGCCCATCTTTCTCCTACGCTTCCACCGTCTGCCCTGCCTGTCTTCAAGCTACCCCCTCTCTCCTGGACTTTCACGGCCTTGTCTCTACAGCCAGTGGTCCCTATGAGACACAGGACAGCCCTTCACACCCACTTGCCTATATGACCAGACCACTGTGAGGTCCCCCGGCCGCATTTCAGCCTCTCCTTGAGGCACCTGGTGCCACCTTTGTGCCCTTGCACCTCCGCACTGGGTGCACACTTTTGTTCAGGGTCTGTTTTCTCTGCCTCTCTGCAGGCTTCCAGAGGGTGGCAGCACAGGCCCCCGCACCAGGGGAGGAGGGGCGTGTTTTCACCTGAAGTGTCCCCCCACACATACCTAGGGAATTTGTTCAAATTCAGTAATAACAGAAATAGTAACTGCCTCCATTTACTGAGAACTTCTTATGTGCGCAGACAGCTCTGCTCCTCCCATCAGCTCCCCAGTTACATGGGGAGGCTGGGACTCTGAAAGAACTTACAGAAACTTTCACTGCTACTTAGCTGCCATGCTGACAGTGGAGCCCAGGTATTTCTGATTTCAGAGCCTGCAGTCTTCACCACTCATGGCCTCTTGGCCAGAAAGCCCTGCGAGACTTTGCTGGAAGAAGGGGTTAGGCCTGGTCTGTGCACAGACTGGGCCTCATGGAGTGTGCTTGGCACCCTGGGCACTGCACACCAGTCCTGCTCTCCAGGCCACATTGGACACACCCCCCAAGCATCATGTCTTGCTTAGCCCCTCAACCTGAACATGCACAGACACTAAGAGTGGCCACTGGTTGGGCAGAACCATCTAACATAATGCGTATCTTACAATAAAAAGTTGAACATCTCATGTAAATTATTGGACACCCCTGAAAATGGAAACATAGTTGTATGGGTATGTGGAGCATGGTTTTCCTACTAAATGCGTGTGTCTTTCAAACCATCATAAAGTCACAAAATTGTAAGTCGGGGCCACGTGTGGCTTATACATTTGGTCATTTCCCTTGTCCTTCATAGTTCTGTCAGCTGATGCTCGTCCATATCATTTTATCAGCGCATGAGAGCTGTGGTTTTAGGGTTCAGTCTCTGGTTCTTGGAGTGAGAAGCTGATGTCTTCTGTGTAGCTTCACTACAGCCTGCACGGGGTGGGACCAAGACGTCATCTCTGAGATCTACGAGGTCATGATTTTATTTATTTTATTTTATTTGTTTATTTTCTTGGAGGCAGAGTCTTGCTCTGTTGCCCAGGCTGGAGTGCACTGGCGTGAACTCTGCTCACTGCAACCTCTGCCGCCTGGGTTCAAGTGATTCTCCTGCCTCAGTCTCTCAAATAGCTGGGATTACACATCCAGCGCCCACCACCACACCTGGCTAATTTTTATGTTTTTAGTACAGATGGGGTTTCACCGTGTTGGCCAGGCTGGTCTCAAACTCCTGACCTCAGGTGATCTGCCCGCCTCAGCCTCCCAGAGTGCTGGGATTGCAGTCGTGAGCCCCCGCGCCCGGACAAGGTCATGATTCTTTCATGCAGTAAATTTGGGAGGGCCTCCGCCTAGTCCCCTGTGTGAGATGCAGGCTGTGCTGAGGTCTCCATGACTCTTCTTTCCTGCCCTTCTGTGCTCACAAACAGACTAAGTGCTGCCAGGCTCAGTGGCATGGTCTGGAAGGGCACCTGACGGGGTAGGGGTGCTTCCCTGAAGCGAGGGTGAGCATGAACCAGGAAGCCAGTGGAGGGGGTTCGGGTGGAGACCCGGGAGCACGACGGCGAGCTGCAGGGCACTACACGGGGCACCAGGTATGCAGGGCTGTCCTCCTCTGAGCTGGGTTCACCTTTATGGTCCCTAGTGTCCCTGTGGTGTGGCCTCCAGGAAGTATTTGACCACACGTGCTTTTGTAGGCACGTAGTTGGTGTTTTGAGCTCTGTCATCTATGCATATTTTTTTTTCTGTCAGAGACAGTTTAATAATGTTTGTTGGCCAGGCGTGGTGGCTCACGCCTGTAATCCCAGCACTTTTGGAGGCCAAGGCAGGTGGATCACGAGGTCAAGAGATCAAGACCATCGTAGCCAACATGGTGAAACCCCGTCTCTACTAAAAATACAAAAATTAGCTGTGTGTGGTGGCATGCGCCTGTAGTCCCAGCTACTCGGGAGGCTGAGGCAGGAGAATCGCTTGACCTGGGAGGCGGAGGTTGCGGTGAGCCGAGATCACGCCACTGCACTCCAGCCTGGCAACGGCACAAGACTCCGTCTCAAAAAAATAGTGACAATAATGTTTGTTAAATAAATGCTTTGTTTTCTCTGTAATCTTACACTTTCTACATTAAACCCCTCAGTGGGTTTATTTTTTTTTTTTTTGTTTATTCTTTTTGTGCATTTTATTTTTGTTGTTTGCTGATTCATGCAGTGTCATATGACTCCCTGGGGTGTAGTTGGGGGCAAAGCATTTCAGTAAACACCCAGATCTAAACAGGTCTCTTGAAAATCACCAGTGCCACTGGAACCCCTGAATCTTCAGATTAGGGCCAGACCGTCAGCAACCCTGGGCACACACTAACTGGTTTGTTGACCCTGTGCTTTTAGTTCCACAGTAAATACCAGAACTATGATCAATGTACAATAGAAATAATGGTCAACAGAAGTCATTAACAATTTGAACTGTGGGGTTCAAATGATTCTCCTGCCTCATCCTCGCAAGTAGCTGGGATTACAGGTGCCCACCATCATGCCTGATTAATTTTTGTATTTTTAGTAGAGACCAGTCATCATGTGTGGATACTGCAGACTGATTTTTTGTTGTTGCCTTTCCTTATTTTGAAAGTTGTTTAGGACGGGGCATCTTGATGTGTCCCCACCATGTCCGCTGTGTCTAGCCTCTGACGCTTCCTTCCCAGTGGGAGTGGGTGGGAATACTCAGAGACACAGAATTGTGCCCACGCTGATGTGGGTGTCACAGCCACTGTCCACAAGAAAACAAACCCACCCACACATATTCACGAGTACCCCCGTGTCTGCAGTGTTGCTGCCATGCCGCTTTCCTGTTGCCCTCGTTATCCCTTCCATGACCCACTTACCCTTGCCACCCTGACCCTGTGGCCTCACCGCCTCCTGCCCTGTCTGGGCCCTCTGTTTGGATCCTTCTTCCCTGAGTCTACTTTCAGGATGTCCTCCCTCCTCTCCTGGCTCCCATCTTGTGAGGCCCCTACCTTGCCCTCTCCTTCCCTTAGCACTCCCTTTCCGATGTGCTATTTCAGTGATTCTCATTCTCTGTCCCCGCTGGAGTGTGGGCTGTAGGAGAGCAGGAGGTGTCTGTTTTGTTAAGGCTGTGTTCCAGGTGTCTGGATGGTTGCCCTCCTGGGCACTGGAGTCAGCTTCCCCTGAATGAGTAAACAGACGAGGGATCCCCAGCCTTTGATGTGTCAAACAGTAAAGCAGATGAAACGTGTGTGTTTCATGGGTGTGGTTTCTGCTCCTGCCCCCGTCACGGAGCTGTGGGTCTCTGTGGGATGTGCTGTCCTGCCCGGCTAGGCTCTCGCCCCCACCGGCTGTGCGTGTGGACCTGCTGTGTGCACAGATGGGAACAAAAGACCAGCACAGTGCTGGTCTTACCTTAGACATAGAGCTTCTACCCAGCCAGTGTGTTTCTCTATGTATGAGACTGGATGCAAGGCCTGCTGGATTCAGCTCATCACTTAGGCCTGTTCTTTGCCAGGTTACCTGTCCTGCTGCCGATTCCTGGATGACAATCAGATCGTCACCAGCTCTGGAGACACCACATGGTAAGTACCTGACCCGGGGCAGGCAGTGCGTTGAGAACCCCACACCCCTGGCACATTCCTCTGTGAACATGGAGGAAATAAGGTTCTTGACATAATATTAGGCCATCTTTAATTTAAGTGGCCTTAAGATTTTAAACACATAGTAGCAATGTGTGAATTCATTATACTTTTTTTTTTTTGAGACGGAGTTTTGCTCTTGTTACCCAGGCTGGAGTACAATGGTGCAATCTTGGCTCTGTGACCTCCACCTGCCAGGTTCAAATGATTCTCCTGCCTCATCCTCCCAAGTAGCTGGGATTACAGGTGCCTGCCACCATGCCTGACTAATTTTTGTATTTTTAGTAGAGACCAGGTTTTACCACGTTGGCCAGGGTGGTCCTGACTCCTCACCTCAGGTGACCTGCCCACCTCGGCCTCCCATTACAGGCGTGAGCCATCATGCCCAGCCTCATTATACTCTCATTATACTTTTAATAAATTTACAAAGTTTAATTTTCAGCAGCTAAGAACTAAAATACAAACTTTTGTTTGTTTGTTTGTTTGAGACAGAATTTTGCTCTGTCTCCAGGCTGGAGTGCAGTGGCGTGATCTCGGCTCATTGCAACCTCTGCCTCCCGGGTTCACGCTATTCTCCTGCCTCAGCCTTCCGAGTAGCTGGGACTATAGGCGCCCGCCACCACGTCCGGTTAATTTTTGTATTTTCAGTAGAGACAGGATTTCACCATGTTGGCCAGGATGGTCTTGATCTCTTGACCTCGTGATCTGCCCACCTCAGCCTCCCAAAGTGCTGGGATTACAGGAGTGAGCCACCACACCTGGCCAATAAAGATATTTTAACTACAATCAGGCTGAAAGTACCGCTCTTCTGTTTTTTTTCCCATCTGTATGTCTGTACCTCCTTAGGTGATGCTAGGTGGGAGCAGGGTGGGTTTTTTGTTTTTTTGTTTTTGTTTTTTTTTGTTGTTTTTTTTTTTTTTTGAGACGGAGTCTTGCTCTGCCGCCCAGGCTGGGGTGCAGTGGCCGGATCTCAGCTCACTGCAAGCTCCGCCTCCCAGGTTTACGCCATTCTCCTGCCTCAACCTCCCGAGTAGCTGGGACTACAGGCGCCCGCCACCTCGCCCGGCTAGTTTTTTGTATTTTTTAGTAGAGACAGGGTTTCACCATGTTAGCCAGGATGGTCTCGATCTCCTGACCTCGTGATCCGCCCGTCTCGGCCTCCCAAAGTGCTGGGATTACAGGCTTGAGCCACCGCGCCCGGCCGAGCAGGGTGGGTTTTGATTGTCCCTTTCTGATAGCACCGTGTCACTGTGAACAATGAGCACATACTAAAACTAACAGACGTCACAATTCAAGCGATTCCATCAGACTTCATTTTTAGTGTTTTCACCTTACAGGTGAACGGAAACCCACTTAAAACACTAGAAGTTTTTCATTTGTGGCATCAAAGTACTAAATTAAATGTCCAGATAGTTATTTTATGAGTCATTTTAGACTTCAGCTGGCCATGTGGGTTTTTCTGGTCTTCTGAGGCATGATTTGGTGGCAGGAGCTGTGTCCAGGCCAGGGCACAGACCTCTAGTCACGCAGTTGGTAGGGTTCACCGAGACATGGGCCCTTAACCAACTTATTAGCAAAGCATCTGTGGTATTATAAGGTGTCTCGTTGTATAAATTTCATAGATTTACAAAAGATTTGTCACCTAGATTGTCAATCTTGAGAAGACTTTATTTATTAGAAGATATTTTTAAAGCGCTTCTGTTCATTAATCATTTTTTTCAGACTCTCTTACGTATCTTGCTTCCCTTCTGCAGTCAGTCCCTCAGGCCCTAGAGAGGAGACTCCCTGTGCGGTGTCTGTTGAGATCGGCTGGTTGGATTTGCATTGCCAGGCCCAGCCAGACTTTCCTCTGAGGCTGACAGGAACGGACAGTGCTCTCTGGTATTGCCTTCCGTGCGTCAAGGCACAGGAGAATAGCACATTTTTAGGCGTGTGGCCTTCAGAGCTGTCCTTACACCTAAGCCAGGCTTCTGCTCTGTGCAGGGCTCTGTCAGCGTCTCACCTTTTGACAGTTCGTTAAGCAGAAACACAATAGAATACCAGGTATGGCCGGGCGCGGTGGCTCACCTCTGTAATCCCAGCACTTTGGGAGGCTGAGGTGGTTGGATCACCTGAGGTCGGGAATTCGAGACCAACCTGACCAACATGGAGAAACCCCGCCTCTACTAAAAATATTAAAAAAAAATTAGCCAGGCATGGGTGGCGCATGCCTGTAATCCCAGCTACTTGGGAGGCTGAGGCAGGAGAATCGCTTGAACCCGGGAAGCGGAGGTTGCAGTGAGCCAAGATCGCGCCATTGCACTCCAGCCTGGGCAACAAGAGTGAAACTCAGTGTCAAAAAAAAAAAAAGAATACCAGGTGTGATCACTGAGAACTCAGCTGCTCTCCTGTTTGTGATTCCAGGAAAGGGCAGGGGGACCTCAGAATTGCTGCGAGCCATTTGTTTACCTGCCATTGGCCTTCTCCTGCCTGCCTTTTCTAAGATCCTGTGGAGGGGAGGCCAGGGGAGGGCACAGAGGGAGCAGCCACAGGTAGAGTCGCATCCCCCTCCGCTATCCAGGGCCTCCCCATGGCTTCCTGCCACCCCCTCCATGCCCATCCATGACTGAAGAGTGGGACACAGCCTCAGTGTTGCTGCTTGAAAAGTGCCCCTAGCTCCCTCTTTGCTGGCGTTTGAGTTGAGGTAGTGATCCCGTCATTCTGAAACCCAGGCCGTGTGCTCATCTCTGTATAATTTTGCTTACTTTGCTTTGTTTCCCTTCCAAAGTTGTATTACATTTAAATTTGTCTTTAAACAATTTACGTTTTTAAAGTAACAGTGCAGAGGCTCACTGTGGCCCTGGGTGGTTTGAAGGACAGACTGTCATATGACTAGCCACCCGAGAAGTTGAGGCTGATGTCCCCTTGTCATTCGCTCCTGCTCCAGTGCCCTGTGGGACATCGAGACCGGCCAGCAGACGACCACGTTTACCGGACACACTGGAGATGTCATGAGCCTTTCTCTTGCTCCTGATACCAGACTGTTTGTCTCTGGTGCTTGTGATGCTTCAGCCAAACTCTGGGATGTGCGAGAAGGCATGTGCCGGCAGACCTTCACCGGCCACGAGTCTGACATCAATGCCATTTGCGTGAGTCTGGGTGAAGGTGTGGGGTCGGGGCCTCTGCTGTCTCTGCTAGCCGTTCAGATTGCTAAATTTTAAACTTTTCTGGATTAGATGTTCTCCTTTCTGATCCTTATACAACCTCGTCTGCAGATGGGGATACAGAAAACTCCCCGTGGGAAACGTCTCTATGTTGACCACTTGTCTTATAGATATTCACAGGGTGTCTGTTATGTGCCAGTCCCCGTTCCCACCTGTACAGCTGAGCAGCGGTTGGGATCCTGGAGGGGAGAGACAGTAAGGTAACTCAGGCCACCAGTTACCGGTTACAGAGCCTTACTGGTCAGGGGCACAGCTAACCAGGAAACCTGCTCTCCTCTTTAGCACGCAGATGGCTAGGCAGTGTTTCCAGCCCCTGGCCTTGTGAGGAGACGTGGAAGGATGTATCTGTTGGTTGGATAGAGCTCTGCTGCAGTCCTGACCACTGCCCTGCTCAGCCCACTTCGCTCCTTCCTCCATGAGATTAGCCCTGATGTCTGGCAGCTACAGCACCTGTCAGTGATGACTCCTTTCTCACTATTCCTTTGAAATAAATTCTACTCTTTGGGGACAGTAATCACAGTGTCCAAGATCACAGTGTTTATGTGCTTCCCCAGTGCAAATCCCCTTCCATCCCAATCCCCTGTAGTTCCTGGGAAACCTCCCCTGCCTTTTTTTTTTTTTTTTTTTTTTGAGACAGAGTTTTGCTGTTGTTGCCCAGGCTGGAGTGCGATGGCACAGTCTCGGCTCACTGCAACCTCTACCACCTCCCGGTTTCAAGCGATTCTCCTGCCTCAGCCTCTCGAGTAGCTGGGATTACAGGTGCACGCCACCAGTCCTAGCCAATTTTATATTTTTAGTAGAGCGGGTTTTCTCCATGTTGGTCAGGCTGCTTTCAAACTCCCAACCTCAGGTGATCCACCCGCCTCAGCCTCCCAAAGTGCTGGGATTACAGGCGTGAGCCACTGTGCCCGGCCCATCCCTCTGTTCTTACCAGAGCACAGTCTTGCTGGTCTTTGCTGTGTTCTCTGCAGCCCTACCATTGAGCAGTCCATATGCCCAATATTTCTTTCTGAGTGTTAACATGATGTCTTGATTTGCTTTCTCTTTCCAGTTCTTTCCAAATGGCAATGCATTTGCCACTGGCTCAGACGATGCCACCTGCAGGCTGTTTGACCTTCGTGCCGACCAGGAGCTCATGACTTACTCCCACGACAACATCATCTGTGGGATCACCTCTGTCTCCTTCTCCAAGAGTGGGCGCCTCCTCCTCGCTGGGTACGACGACTTTAACTGCAACGTCTGGGACGCGCTCAAAGCCGACCGGGCAGGTACGTGACCGGGGGGCTTTTCTGTGTCTCCTGGACATTTATGTGGCATCTTTAGGGCAGACACAGAGTTGTTGATAAGCTGCAGTGTTTAGTATCAGTGGGACTGTGGCATGGTATAGCAGGAGTGATAGTCGCAAACTGATGGCCCAGCTCTGGCCCTCCAGGCAAGTGGACTCCGAAGAGCACCAGCAGATCTTCCCACATGTGCGGGGGAGGGCTTTGGGGAGGGTCAGTGGGCAGGAGAGGGTCAGCTGTGCAGGCTCCAGGGCCCAGTCCCATGTTTTCCCCTCTGAACTCTGCATCAGGGGAGCAGAGCGCCATGCAGGGACACCTCTGGGTGCTGTTACAGTTAACATATCAAAGGCAAGCATGTTATTGCCAGGTGTATTAAAACACTAGATGTACAAAAGATGAGGCTTCCTTACTAAAAGTAGACATTTGGGCATTTCAATTTGAGAACTGTTGACACTTACAGACTCTTAGATTCATTCGTCTCAGTACCTGGGAGGACAGAAGAAGGGAGCATGGCTCCAGGTCTTGGCCCTTACCGGGGCTTCCTGCTTCCGGATGGGTGCCATTCTCATGTCCTGGTTAAACACCCTTGTTTTTCTCCCCAGCCTGGGGGGACCAAAGTGGAGCCATTTCCGGCCAAGTCCCACAGTCATAGTGCTGTTGAAAGGCGGTGGAAGCCAGCCCAGGCCTTGGCAGAGCACACACTGGCCCCTATGCTCAGCTGTGTGGTGTCTGCAGGAGGTGGGGGAGGGTGGCTGAAATGGGCCTTCAGATCCCCCTGGGAGGAAGTGGAGCTTCTGGCTGGTGATGATCCAATCGAAGGTTATTGAGTGTTGACAGAAGGCCCCCCTCACCATGTGACAGTGACAGTGCCAGTGGTCTCAGCCACCATCGCTACTCCTGTGTTCTGTGCCTTGTGCTGGGCTCTAGGGATCACAGACGAAGGAAAAACAGCTCATGCCTCTAAGCTTCTGTGTTACAGTTGCTTTGAGATTGGGGTGGTTTTGATTTTTCTTTTTTTTTTTTTTTTGAGATGGAGTCTCGCTCTGTCGCCCAGGCTGGAGAGCACTGGCACGATCTCAACTCACTGCAACCTCTGCCTCCCGGGTTCAAATGATTCTCCTACCCCAGCCTCCCGAGTAGCTGGGACTATAGGCCCGCACCACCACGTCCTACTAATTTTTGTATTTTTAGTACAAACGGGGTTTCACCATGTTGGCCAGGCTGGTCTCAAACTCCTTACCTCGTGATCTGCCCGCCTTGGCCTTCCAAGGTGCTGGGATTGCAGGCCTGAGCCACCGAACGTGATGATGGTTTTGATTTTTTTGATTGTGGCCTTTGCTTATTTTTTGAGTTTTGTGAGTGCTGAGAAGTCAGTGCCGGGGGTTCTGGATTTATTGATTGTGTGTGTGTGCGTGCCTTTGAATTTTAATAAGGCTGGCCATATGCTGCAGTTTAATTCCCACGTGGACACAACTTTCCCTCCCTTCCTGGCCGTGGGAGACTCTGGGTCTTGTCCCACGAGGGGCTCACCATCCGCCCTCGTCACAACATGGCACACAGGTCACAGGTGAGATCGATACCTCTGTGATTCTGCTGTTGTTTGCTTCCAGGTGTCTTGGCTGGGCATGACAACCGCGTCAGCTGCCTGGGCGTGACTGATGATGGCATGGCTGTGGCGACAGGGTCCTGGGATAGCTTCCTCAAGATCTGGAACTAACGCCAGTAGGTAATGCAGCAGCCCAAATGTCCTTCTCTGAGGAGAACTGTGCGTGTTTCTCATAGAACGTGTGAAGTTGTCATTAACGGTTTCTAGATAAATGTTGATGTAGCACTGATTTGGAATTGTGTTGTGGGAAACGTTTACAGAAATCTGAAGTCACATGCCCTCAGCCGCAGACACTCATGCAGTGGTGGGAAGAGCAGTGACCTGACTATGCGTCTGCACTTAGATTCTCTGCCTCTTTTCACATTTCTTTAAACTCTGTTTAAAACAGCATGTGGATGCCATGGAGACTGGAAGACCATTCCAACTTGGACGCGTTACCATGAGAGCATATCCTATCCAACCGTACTAACGTGGACACCCTACACCTCCCCTCAGAACTTCAAAAGGGCAAGATCTTTTTTCCTTCACTTATTGCTGAAACCAAGAGCACAATTCCCAGTAAGAGAAGGATCTCTGTGCTGTAAAACTAAAACAAATTGTGCATTCCTTCCGGGGCCATCGTCTTTGTTTTCTTTTTTGTCTTGAATGAATTTTAAAAGGAAATATATAATAAAAATGTTAACCAGAAGGTAAACTTGAGTGTAATTGTGAGACAGACACACCTTTCCACTAGTTTATTTGAATTTTAGACCAGTGACCCTGTTTTGTGGCATTCACGCAAAACACGCTGAGGGCTTTGTTCATCTGGTCATCGTGTCCAAATTTCAGTCATGTTTGTAGCAAGATTTTGGAAGCATTCATATTTCCTTTTTAAAATATATTCCTTTGTGTTCAACAGTTAATCAAAACCAGAGAGTCTAGGGCAGCCTCTCTGGCGTTGTCAGTGATGTAAATTCAGTCCCTGATTTTTAATTTTCTGTCTAGTGTCACAGATCATTGTTGCACACAAACATGGCATAGAAAAGAACATGTTCAGAAGCCATGGGGCCAAGCACATGTGGGGACGGTCTCGAATGCGTGATCAGAGAATCCTTCACCTTTGCTGAAAAGTGAGCTCAGATCCAGCACCATGTTCCTCCTGACCCATCCTGTCTATCTTCTCAGTTGAGTTTTTAATCTCACTTTGGGTTTCCTTGTGAAGTTGGAGGGAAGTTTATAATAGCCTAACACTACCCCACCCCCAACTAGGAGGAACCTCTGTTTTCAAGAGAGATGCCTGTCCTGTGCTTGGATAGTCAGTCAATTATTTGTGTATGAAACAATGTACAAATCAATGTTTTGAAAATAATGATCTCAGACTTTCTAAGTTAAATTTTAAAAATTTTGATTGTTTGCCATATTGGGTGGGTTTACTCTTAGAATCGCATGCTGTAGAAATGCTCAAAAGTGCATATAGGACTCAGTCCTTAGGTGTTCTTTTTCTTTAAGAAATAACCTCTTACAGTTGTAACCATTGCGGCTCTGTCCACTTCTCGTTGCTGCTCTGTGGCACATATCGGAAGCAGTACAGCGCGCGGCTCTACACGCTTGGGTAGCGGGATAAGTCACTGTTTTCTTTATTTCTTTGAAAAAAAAAGTTCTGTTGCAAACGACTGCTGTTGGATTCTGAGGGTGGGGAGGGAGGGAGGGAGGGAGGGAGGGGGAGGGAAGAGCCTGCCCTCCCTTATGGATTCTTCAGGGCCTCCGCCTCTGAGGCGGCTCATTCCCATCACACAGATTGTCCTGGTGTTCATTTCAAGGCCAGTGTTCAGCAGCAGCGTTTGGAAAGCAGGTTCTGTGGGACCCCCCCCCCGCCCCGCCCCCCGCACTCCTTCATAGCAGCAGTAGTGGCTTCTCCATCCTGTTTTCTGCAACATTCTATACAAAACTGTGCTGTGACCTTGCGGTAGGCCTGGATCTGGCAAAGAGAATACAAATGAAACCCCTTCTTTCTCTTTCCGTCCAACAACTCTGTAGAGCTCTCTGCACCCTTACCCCTTTCCACCTTTTGTATTTAATTTTAAAGTCAGTGTACTGCAAGGAAGCTGGATGCAAGATAGATACTATATTAAACTGTACTGTTATTTAAGATGTAATAAAGCAGTTTGACATGAGGGACTTTGGTGTGGTGATTATTTACGGGTCCATTTTCAGTTTACGACACGCCCACCTCCCTAGGCTTACCCTGCTGCTGTAAGGTCTGACAGGTGTGGTCATGCCAGGCAGTGCCTTGGCCACCAGCACATCACAGAATCCATGAGTGGCGCATTGGCTCCTTGGAGGGGTTCCTGGGAAGCTCCACCTCACAGGCCAGCGGAGCAGGGAGGTCCACCTGCCATCCCCCAGACCCCTCCCCGTGCATAGGCCTTGCCCACAGCACCGTGGGAGTCTTCACAGGCGGCTGCCTTGCCTTTCTCCTCTGCCGTTTCCCTCCCTCAGAATGTCTGAGGATGTGACTCCAGAGACTCGCTTTCCTTGGGACTGAACCGAGTGTTCCTCTTGGTCTGAATCAAAACTGCATCTCGTAAGAAAAAATAAGAACACTGACCACGGTAGAGTGGAAAACCACGGCTGCACGTGTCCCAAATAGCTGCTCCTAAGTTCTGGAACCATCCACTTCCCTGCTTTCCAAACTGGTGATTTTTTAAAATCTTAAATAGGCAATACAAAATTAGCTGGGCCTTGGCCGGGCGCGGTGGCTCAAGCCTGTAATCCCAGCACTTTGGGAGGCTGAGACGGGAGGATCACGAGGTCAGGAGATCGAGACCATCCTGGCTAACACGGTGAAACCCCGTCTCTATTAAGAAATACAAAAAACTAGCCGGGCGAGTTGGTGGGCGCCTGTAGTCCCAGCTACTGGGAGGCTGAGGCAGGAGAATGGCGTAAACCCGGGAGGCGGAGCTTGCAGTGAGCTGAGATCCGGCCACTGCACTCCAGCCTGGGTGACAGAGCGAGACTCCGTCTCAAAAAAAAAAAAAACAAAAACAAAATTAGCTGGGCCTGGTGGCACACGCCTATAATCCCAGCTCCTTGGGAGGCTGAGCAGGAGAATCACTTGAACCCAGGAGGCAGAGGTTGCGGTGAGCCGAGATCACACCATTGCACACCAGCCTGGGCAACAAAAGCAAAGTTACGTCTGGGAAAAAAAAAAATCTTAAATAGGCGTATGTGGTGGCTCTCGCCTGTAATCACAGCACTTTGGGAGGCTGAGGCGGGCAGATCGCTTGAGCTCAGCAGTTCAGGACCAGCCTGGGCAATGTGGCAAGACCTCATCACTATTTTATTTTAAAAAAAAAAAAAAAGCTGGACGTGGTTGCTCATGCCTGTAATCCCAGCACTTTGGGAGATTGAGGTGGGCAGATCACGAGGTCGGGAGTTCGAGACCAGCCTGACCAAAGAGTGAAACCCCCATCTACTGAAAATACAAAAAATTAGCCGGGCGTAGTGGCGTGCACCTGTAGTCCCAGCTACCTCGGGGGGCTGACGCAGGAAAATCGCTTGAACTTGGGAGGTGGAGGTTGCAGTGAGCCGAGATCACACCACTGTGCTCCAGCCTGGGTGACGGGGAGAATGCGTCTCAAAGGAAAAAAAAAAAAAGATAAAATCTTAAATAATTGGTAAGGTTATAAAAAGGTAACTTTGGGCCGGGCGCGGTGGCTCACGCCTGTAATCCCAGCACTTTGGGAGGCAGAGGCGGCAGGATCATGAGGTCAGGAGATCGAGACCATCCTGGCTAACACGGTGAAACCCCGTCTCTACTAAATATACAAAAATTTAGCCAAGCGTGGTGGCGGGTGCCTGTAGTCCCAGTTACTCCAGAGGCTGAGGCAGGAGAATGGCGTGAACCCCGGGAAGGCGGAGTTGGCAGTGAGCCGAGATCACGCCACTGCACTCCAGCCTGGGCGGGTAACAGAGCAAGACTCCATCTCAAAACAAAAAAAAAAAAAAAAAAAAGTAACTTGGTAATTCCCGTGGCTCCAGCAACTGGAACTTTTTTTTTTTTTCTTTTTTTTTTTTTTGAGGTAGAGTCTCACTGTGTGGTCCAGGCTGGAGTGCAGTGGCGCAATCTCAGCTCATTGCAAGCTCCGCCTCCAGGGTTCACGTCATTCTTCTGCCTTAGCCTCCCAAGTAGCTGGGACTACCGGCTGAGCCATCACACCCAGCCGAACTCTTTCCTAGTAAGTGAAGAAGGCTCTCAAGGGAAAGTACCTGCAGGCCCCCTCCTCTGCTGGGCACCAGAGAGCCCAGCAGCCCGTCCTCTAGGCTGGCAGTCCCTGGGTGGAGAGGCTCCCAGAGGGCACTTGGGATTCACGGAGCAGGGCCCAGCCGCCTTTGTTGCTCCAGGCAGGGTGCTGATGTTTCTGATGCAACCAAGGGTGCCCATCTGCCACCACTGCAAGTGACAGTATGGCACTGTCTCCCTGGTGGGGTGACCTGGTGCTGTTTTAGGCTGCTGAAGTGGGTGTGATTGGCAGGCTGAACGGGGGGGGGGGGGGTTTGCCTGGCTTCATCCTCATCCCCCACTTCTCCCTGAAATACATGAGTTCTTCATAGACATGCAAGTTCTTCACAAGCCCTAAACCTGCCAGCTGTCTTACAGAAGCCCCATTTAAAATGCTAGAGAGTTGAACTTGTCTTGGAGGCGTGAAAAGAAGAAAAGAATTAAAAATTAAATGCCAGAGAGTACCTGAGGCTCTTCCCCAGCGGGCAGTTCCTGGCAGGGAGGGGCTCCAGCAGCTGGGAGGCAGGGCGCCGGCCTGCAGTGGCCTATCTTTGTCCCTGCACAGAATAAATAAAGGCCGAGCATCTCAGCAGGGCTGCCACACCCCTGACTGCACTGCTTCCCTTTGGGAATTCCTGTTGGCTTCTGTGTCCTAGCCTGGCGTCCGGCTGACTGACAGAGCTGGCATGTGGGACCTGGGACCCTCTGGTGCCCCTTCCCCTTGGCTTTGGCCTGGAAGAGCCACAGCTGAGGGGAGACTCCTCCCTGGGGCATCCTGCCTGTCCCTTGGCAGGCATGGAGGCCACTGCCCCACTTTCTTAGCAAAACAGGAAATGAAAACGGGCGCCAACAACGTGCACTTGGACGGTGGCACTGGCTAAGGCACTGTGGAAAGAGGAGGATAATTCCACACTGGCTGAGCGAACTGCATTTTCAAACTTCCCGTGTCCGGGTCACCTGGCTCCGCCCCGCGTGCGCGGGCACACCTGTCGCAGGTGGACACAGGCAGTGGAGTGACTGCAGCTCGCTCTGGTTGTGGACTGTTCCTGCAGGGCCTCGGCCCTCCTTTGACCACACGGCGCGGGACCGCCCCTGTGCTCCATGTCCCAGGGATGGCGGTCCCCCACCTCAATTTTACTCTAGCACGTGGCATGCACGTCCACACTTGAGCAGGACAAGGTTTCCGTTCTGTCCCCTGCGTGTCAGGCACCTAGCAGAGGCTGGTCCTCCAGCAGGATGCGGGGGAGGCGTGCTCTGCCCACGCAAAACGGAGACACTAAAGCGTCCTGGCGCGGCGCCCGCCCCCAGCCGGTCCTGGGAGCCTGAGTGACTGGGGCCAATAGAAGGGCGGCCCCGGACCGAGGGCACCCGGGAAAGACCGCCCCTGCCCCTCCCATTACTCTCTGGCCTCGCCCTGTCCCCTCCCCCACCTTTCCTCGCTGGGTGACCTTGAGCAAGTTACTTGGCCTCTCTGTGCCTCTGGCTCCCGCATGAAAAATGTGGACAATAAACGTACCAGGCTGTGGCTGGGTGCGGTGGCTCACGCCTGTAATCCCAGCACTTTGGGAGGCCGAGGTGGGCGGATTACCTGAGATCAGGAGTTCAAGACCAGCCTGGCCAACATGGTGAAACCCCGTCTACTAAAAATACAAAAAATGAGCTGGGTTCAGTGGCGTGCGCCTGTTAACTCCAGCTACTCTGGACCCTGTGGCAGGAGAATCACTGGAACCTGGGAGGCGGAACCTGCAGTGAGCTGAGATCACACCACTGCACTTCAGCCTGAGCTACAGAGTGAGATTTCGTCTCAAAAAAAAAAAAAAAAAAAAAAGTACCACGCTGCTTGGTAAGGATCTTGTGAGGTCAGAGTCCTAGTCATGCCAGGTGGTTACTGTTGATGATCCCCGCCCACCCTGGGCTCTCACCACCTCAGGGCCCTGGGTCTTGCGGCTGCCTCTGCCTGAGAAACACTTGTCCCTACTGTACCCCAACCCCTGCCTCCCCCCACCAATTCTGCTTCTAGTCCGTCTGCCCCCCTAGAAGGTGAACGAACACCTGATGGACTTCTGTTTCCACTGTTGAGTCCTCAGTGTGCCTGGTGTCCTGGGAGAGAGGTCGCCCCTCGCCCCAAACCAGGTCAAACAGGAGACTATCATGTGAGCAGATCCAGACACTGGCCCCTACAGATGCCCCTATCCTGGCTCTCAGCCTGGGCAGGGTCTGTGCCAGGTGCTGGCTGGAGGCTGGATGAGATGACCAGATAGCCTGCCACACTGATGTCCTTCACTGGGAGCCTCAGTTCCTCTCAGCCACCCTTTCCCCAGGCTCCCAGCCACTTCCCCTTGTGGATTCCGGGCAGACTTCGTTCACCCGGTTC